AAAAAAAAAATGTTAAATGAGACATGCGGTGTGGGGGGGGTGCCTGGTGTGTGCAAAGCAGGGCTTGGTAAATAGAAGCTGCCTCAGTAGTATTTTAGTCGTTCACCACCATGACCGATAGCATCATTGCACCTGCTTTCGTTTCTGGGTCCTTGTACGTCTTTACCTCTCTGTGTTACTCATAGTTCCTAGGAGGGTGGACAGAAGGATTCCTGCTTGTCAGGGTCATTGTGAAGTTGGAATAAGTCATTGTAAAAGTGCTTGACTTCAGGAAATGCTGTTGTAGTGGTGATGATGACTCTTCCCAAAGAGTGCCAAGGTGAAAGTTGGTAGGAAGGCCTTTCAGAGCCATGTAAGTGTGGCTGACCCAGCTCGGGGCCCAGCCCAGATGGTACCTTGTAGCAAGTCAGTACCGGACATGTATCTGCTATTCCAGAGTAGTGGCCCAGCCCCTCCCTGCTGAGACTACCTCACCCACACAGGTTTGCCTGGGAGAAGGGTCAGAGGAGGTGTTGGCTGCCCGTAGTGCCAAAGCCCATGCGTGCTCCCCAGGGAGGCCCCCTCTGTTTCATCTGTGGGGCTCTGGGCCAGTTACCAGCTTCTCTGATCCTTGACTTTCTTAGCTCTACCAGGCCAAGCTTTCGTAGACACACACATGTAGTAACTGCATATGAGGCATGTGGCACAAGGCCTAGCGCTTGGTAAGCTGCTCGAGTGGTGGTGGCTGCTCTATAATTTTGCTTTGGATACGAATCATTATTTTCTACAAGCTGCTGAGTTCACGCTGGGGTCCACCCAGAGCAGGGTCAGTCAAGCCCCGGCCCCTCCCTAAGGACAGCGTGGCTCACCCCCTGCTCTGGGGAGGAGGGGCCAGAGCCACATGCCAGGCCCACAGGCCCTGATAGTGTCACGATGATGTGTCCACTCCTGCCCTTGTGACAGGTTGGTGTGCCAGGGGAAGGGGTGCAGGGTAGGCAAGCCAGCTGAAGCCCCACTGTGTGTCCGCAGGCTATCTGGGAGAATCAGTTCTATTACCTCTTTGGCTTCCTGTTCCTTGTTTTCATCATCCTGGTGGTATCCTGTTCACAAATCAGCATCGTCATGGTGTACTTCCAGCTGTGTGCAGAGGTGAGGAGAGCAGGGCCAGGAGGCGGGGGAGGGAGAACTGGATCCAGCATTGAACGGGTTGGTGAGGCTCTGTGGAGAGGCTGGGTCCGGGCTCTTCATGTGGCCCTTGCTTCTGGTTCTGAGCTCTTGGGCCAGTACATTGCTGTGCCTCTCCCAGCCTCCATGTATTTAACTGTACCCTGGGGCTAATGAGATACCTTCCAGCTTAGTTGTGTGGTTGTGTGGGGTACTCACCACAGCTAGATGAGAGGACAGTAGATTTGCCAATGCCAGGTCCACTCCAGTAGTAGTTTCTCCAACAGGCTGATGCACACTGGGTGGCCTGTCCTCCCTCTGGGGACTAGCCATTGGCAGAGTAGGTGAAGCCAGGGTTTGGGATGAACAGTTTGGGCTGGGACCCTGTCTCCTCCATGAGTAGCTCTGGGTCTTGGGCAGGTTGCTTAACTTCGTGCCATCCATTCCTCCTCCATATGATGGGGTGAGTGAGAGGACCTACCTTGGAGGCTGCTCTCAGGATTAAGTGAGTGGATTCATCTATAGCACTTAAAATGGTGCTGGCCAGCCAGACGCTGTAGCTCACGCCGGTAATCCCAGCACTTTGAGAGGCTGAGGTGGGTGGATCACAAGGTCAGAAGATCGAGACCATCCTCGCTAACACGGTGAAACCCCATCTCTACTAAAAATACAAAAAATTATCTGGGTGTGGTGGCATGTGCCTGTAGTCCCAGCTACTTGGGAGGCTGAGGCAGGAGAATCGCCTGAACCCAGGAGGTGGAGGTTGCAGTGAGCCAAGACCGCACGACTGTACTCCATCCTGGGCAACAGAGTGAGACTCCGTCTTAAAAAAAAAAAAAAAAAAAATAGGGCCTGCCACATGCTAAGCATTTGCTCGAGAAATGTTAATTACTTTTTTGTTGATTTTTTTTTTTAATGAGGTATAAACAGTAAAGTTCACCCTTCTTTGTCCACAATTCTGTGGTTTTTAGAAATGCATACAGTTGTGGAACCACCATCACAGTCAAACTGTGAAACGTTTCCATCACCCTATATGTTACTGCTCTTACCAGAGTCTTCAGCCCCTCAAGCAACTGTGAAATTGGTAGGAAGGGGTTCTGCCCCAGGACAACACTGACCTTCCTCTGTTTCCTCCTCAGGATTACCGCTGGTGGTGGAGAAATTTCCTAGTCTCCGGGGGCTCTGCATTCTACGTCCTGGTTTATGCCATCTTTTATTTCGTTAACAAGGTACTGCCCTCCTTGAGGAGGTCCTCTTAGTCCTCGTAGGGTAGGAAGGTCAGGAGGAGGATTCTGGGAGAAAAACCCAAGTGCCTGAATCTTCCTTTTCCATCCAGAATGGAGAGGACCAAAGCCACCTAGAACTGTTCCTGCTCTAGAAGATGGATCTTAGTAGGAAAGAAAGAATCTGTATTCTGTATGTTTGGGAGACAAAGGCCATCAGGATACGTGACAATGTGAATAATACTTGTGAAACTTACGAAGTATAGCCATGGCCAAAGCAGGACTTGAAAGCAGTATGTCACCTGCAGGGCTCTTCACAGGAAATAAGAGGGACTAATAACACTTTGAGAGAAAGGAAAATATGAGAGTAACATGAAAGAAGAAAAGTAGAAAGGAGTTAATAAAGATAAAAGCACAAAATGCTGAAATAGCCTAAATAGTAGAACCCAAATTTAGGGCTGCAGGCGTCCTGGCTCTGCAGGTGTCCTCTTCTTCACACAAGTACTGTTCAATCCTGCAGAGTAAGGAGAGGATGGGAAAGTTTTTCGCAGGCATCTTGGAGCCCTCCTTGCTCTGTGACCCAACAGAGGTAATGTGTGGCCCAATAATAAGAGGGAGCCAGGCTTACCTGACTACGGCAACTCACAGAGCCCATTGTCCCCAGAGAGAGGCATGGGCAAGAATACAGATGTCCCCACGACATTTTTACTAGATTCATACATGATACACAAACCAGATGAGCCATTGAGAGGAATTTGGAGGAGCCCTGTTGGGCCCCTCACCTCCAGAACTAACACTCAAGACTTACTCTCACCTGCTGTACTTTGGGTCTCCAGAGCCCAGAAGCAAGCAGTCCTCTGCGGCAGCCAGGCGTTATTTGCAGGTCAGTTGATCGAAGCTGGGAATGCCATTTCCCAAAAACAATCAAGTTGGAAAAGACTAGAAGGATCATTTAGTGTGGTGCTGCACCCCTGCCTCCAGTCTGGTGACTGTGCCCCTCTTCTCTAACAGTCTCAACAGATGATTCTCCAGCTCAGGGGTCAGCAAACTGCAGCCCCCATGTTTCTGTAAATTTTTATTGGAACACAGCCATGGTCATTCATTAACATACTGTCCATGGCTGCTTTCACACTACAGTGGCAGAGTTGAGTAGTTGCGACAGGGACCATATGGCCTGCAGAAACTAAAATACAATCTGGCCCTTTAAGTAAAAGATTGCAGACCCCTGCTCGCCTACATCCAGCAACAGAGAAGACACTCCCTCCTAACACTCCCATTCTTTCTGGACAGCTCCTATCATTATCAAGGTCTTGATTCACACTGCAGTCTCCCTTGCTGTGACTTCCATCTTTAGACCTTAGTCTTAATTCTGGGATCATCTAGAACAAATCTAATCTCCCTCTTCTATAGCCCATATTAATCAGAACTCTCATAAGTGGCAAGTGACTAAAACTATTCAAAAAGAATGTATTTGCTGATATAACTGGAAAGACTAAGAAATTGGAGTTCTAGCCTCAACCATACTTAGATCCAGGGTCTCAAAAATATCAGGGCTCAATCCCAGCACTTTGGGAGGTCGAGGCAGGTGGATCACGAGGTCAGGAGATCGAGACCATCCTGGCCAACATGGTGAAACCCCATCTCTACTGAAATACAAAAAATTAGCCAGGTGTGGTGGTTCACGCCTGTAGTCCCAGCTACTCAGGAGGCTGAGGCAGGGGAATCGCTTGAACCCTGGAGGCGAAGGTTGTAGAGCCGAGATCGTGCCACTGCACTCTAGCCTGGATGACAGAGCAAGACTCCATCTCAAAATAAAATAGAAATAAAAATACGCACACATACATACCAGGGCTCTGTGCCCACACCTTAGCCCTGTGTATCTTTTTTTGACCTCAGTCTACAGGCAAGATCTTTTCACAAAGTAGAAAGATGGCCAGTGGCAGCCCTAGAGTCTACTCTTTCCAGCTTTGCAGCCCTAGAGCTAAAAGACTATCTTTCCTCTACTATCATACGTCAGCCAGTGAATACTCTTGCTGCTCTGCTCGGGTGACATGCCCAGTGCTCACTGTTTTCCAGGTCCAATAGCATAACATATTCGGGCAGACTGGCTTAGGTCTTGTGCTAGGATTTTTTTTTTTGAGATGGAGACTCGCTGTGTTGCCAAGGCTAGAGTGCAGTGGTGCGATCTTGGCTCACTGCAGCCTCCGCCTCCCAAGTTCAAGCAATTCTCCTGCCTCAGCCTCCTGAGTAGCTGGGGTTACAGGTGCACACCACCACACCTGGCTAATTTTGTATTTTTAGCAGAGACAGGGTTTCTCTATGTTGGCAAGGCTGGTCTCAAACTCTTGACCTCATGTGATCCGTCTGCCTCAGCCTCCCAAAGTGCTGGGATTACAGGCGTGAGCCACCGCAGCCGGCTTATTTTGTGCTAGGATTGATGGCCCCAACGGGACCAGGTATTTTGAGTGTGTTCCTCAAAACATCTGGAAGATGGAAGACAAGGAACACGGTTAGACAAAAACTAGAGATCACATCACAGCCTCTTGTTCTTCCTCCCTTCTGCTCCAGTCTTCTTGCTCTACTCAAAACATCTCTTCCTCCAGCCCTGGTGCCTTATGTATAAAATGAGGAACTTTCCGTCTCTGCCTCTTTGCCTCATCCCTTACCTCCTTTTACCACTGTTCTGCTCCTTGTCCCTCCCCCACTCCTCTCCCCACCTCCAGCCACAAGAATGCATATAAGAAGAGATGGAGGCTGGGTGTGTGTGGTTCACACCTATAATCCCAGTGCTTTCAGAGGCCAAGGTGGAAGGATTACTTAAGGCCAAGTGTCTGAGACCAGCCTGGGCAATAGAGCAAGACACTATCTCTAGAAAAAATAAAAATTAGCTGGGTGTGGTGGCACACACCTATAGTCTGAGCTACTTGGGAGGCTGATGCACGAGGATCCCTTGAGCCCAGGAGGGTGAGGCTGTAGTGAGCTGTGATCATGCCACTGTACTCTAGTCTGGGTAACAGAGGGAGATCCTGTCCCTTTAAAGCAAAGGGGTAGAGGGAGAGTTGCAGGGCTGAGTCTGAAAACATGGCCTTCACCCCATAGGCTTAGGAGAGGGCTTCAAATGGTGACCTATATTGTTTTCTTTGTTTCTTTACTGTTTTCTTCTGGGCTGCTGGCATTCCGTGACCATGTGTCTGCCTGTGAGTCCTGGGACAGGCCCTACTCAGGCCCTGGGCATATCTTGATACCAAGGTTCCACATTAGTTCCATTTGTAAATAACACAACACAGATCCCCAGCATCTCCGCCCAGCCTCTAAACTCTATCCCAGTTAAAAAGGAGTCCAAAATGCTCCAAGATCAAAATCTCTGTGAGATGCTAACAGAAGTGACAAGCATTCTGGGGAAGAGAGGAATGAATGAAGGCTGAGGCGGACTGATGGGGCTCCTGGTCACCCATCAGCTGGGCATCCTGGACACCCCTCCCTTCCACTGCCCCACCCACTCTGACTGCTGCTCCAGCCATCCAGGAGTGTTGCCATACTGATCCAGGGACTGTGGGGGACCAGGAAGGGCACAGCTATGGCCATTCCTCTTGTGGCATTCTGACCCTGGCCCCTGAGGCTGTGTGCATTAGGGCAATACACAGGCCTGGTCCAGATGAAGCAGAGCTGTGCCCAGGAGCCCTGCCTGCCCCTTGCCACCCACTGGAGCACACCCCTTCCCCTGGCCAGGCCTCAGTTTCCCCATGATATCAGTGAGGGTGGGGCCCCAGTTTGCCATGCAGCCTGGCACTAAGCACGCACCCTGTCTTCTTTCTGCTCGCGGCCGCAGCTAGACATCGTGGAGTTCATCCCCTCTCTCCTCTACTTTGGCTACACGGCCCTCATGGTCTTGTCCTTCTGGCTGCTCACGGGCACCATCGGCTTCTATGCAGCCTACATGTTTGTTCGCAAGATCTATGCTGCCGTGAAGATAGACTGATTGGAGTGGACCACGGCCAGGCCCGCTCCATCCTCGGACAGGAAGCCACCCTGCGTGGGGGACTGCAGGCACGCAAAATAAAATAACTCCTGCTCGTTTGGAATGTAACTCCTGGCACAGTGTTCCTGGATCCTGGGGCTGCATAGGGGGCGGGAGGGCCTGTAGATAATCTTGCATTTTTCTTCATCTTATTCCAGTTCTGTGGGGGATGAGTTTTTTGTGGGTTGCTTTTTCTTCAGTGCTAAGAAAGTTCCCTCCAACAGGAACTCTCTGACCTGTTTATTCAGGTGTATTTCTGGTTTGGATTTTTTTTTTTCTTCTTTGTTTTAACAAATGGATCCAGGATGGATAAATCCACCGAGATAAGGGTTTTGGTCACTGTCTCCACCTCAGTTCCTCAGGGCTGTTGGCCACCCTGCGACTAACTGGAAGAGGACATGCCAGAGCCTCAGTGAGGTTCCGAGCCTCCCCCTGCCCATCCTCACCACGGAGGCCACGACAAAGCACAGCTCCAGCCTGGACAGCACCCTCAGTGCCAGCCAACCTCTGCCAGACCTCTCTTTCCCTCTTCTCCCCAGCCTCCTCCAGGGCTGCCCAAGGCAGGGTTTCCAGCCAGGCCTCGGGGTCATCTTTTCACCAGGAGCAAACCCAAGTCTTAGTTGCTACAAGAAAATCCCCTGGAAGTACTGGGGGCCAGGTTCCCCAGACAGCAGGAATCACCCCTATTCAGAGCAGCCGGAGTTTGCTGGACCAACAAGGAGGAAGAGAAGAGACTTGCAGTGAACTGTTTTTGTGCCAAGAAACCCTGGACCTGGGGCCAAGTATTTCCCAAGCCAAGCATCCACTTGTCTGTGTCTGGGAAGGGATGGCCAAGGCCGCTAGGGTCCTTACCCCTCGGGATCGCTCCCCGGCCCTCTCCCCAGGAGGTACCACTCTCCAAGGTGTGCTGGCAGTGGGCCAACTTCAGGCAGGACAGGGAGGCCCAGAGATCACAGATCCCCTCTTGAAGTGGCCAGGCATTCTCTCCCTGCCCTCTCTGGCCTCCGGGGTCATACTCACTTCTTTAGCCAGCCCCATCCCCTCCACCCGACACCTGAGTTCTTGCCTCCTCGTTTTGGGGACACCCAAAACACTGCTTGTGAGAAGGAAGATGGAAGGTAAGTTCTGTCGTTCTTTCCCCAATCCCCAGGAATGGACAAGAAGCCAACTTAGAAAGAAGGGGCTCACATGGCTGGCCTGGCTCCTCCATAGACCCCTGTTCTTAACCTCTGCCCACCTGTGCATGTCATCACAAACATTTGCTCTTAAGTTACAAGAGACCAAATCCACCCAGGGATTAGGGTTCAAGTAGCAGCTGCTAACCCTTGCAGCAGCCCTTGTGGGGCTCCCAACACAAGACAAAGCTCAGGATGCTGGTGATGCTAGGAAGACGCCCTCCCTCACTGCCCCACATTCTCCCGGTAGCCCTACCAGCCTCACCCATCAAACCAGTGAAGTTCTCAATCTTGCCTCACAGTGACTGCGGCATCCACCAAGCATCAGGTTGGAGAAAAGGGAACCCAAGCAGTAGAGAGCGATATTGGAGTCTTTTGTTCATTCAAATCTTGGATTTTTTTTTCTTTTTCCCTAAGAGATTCTCTTTTTAGGGGGAATGGGAAATGGACACCTCATAAAGGGTTCAAAGATCATCAATTTTTCTGACTTTTTAAATCATCATCATTATTATTTTTAATTAAAAAAATGCCTGTATCCCTTTTTTTGGTCCAATTGTAAATAAATATGCCATTGTCCTACTGTTTGGTCTTGAGTCTCATGCAGGGGTTGGAGGTCTGAGGTGAGACACCTTCCCCGAGTGGGTTTAGTTGCATAGTTTCCCCCGAAGCTCAGTCTCATGTCAGACTCCTCCAGGGCTCAAGCCGCTGCTGTTCCCTGCCTGATACAAGTCCATTGCCTAGCCCCTCCATACTAAATTGCAGTCGTTTGCTCTTCTGATCCCACAAGCGGGAAATGGCAGTCAAGTGTGTTTTGGTAGCAGTGAGATCTGGTTTTGGATTCCCAGCTTCAGTGTTTTACTGTCAGCTTATCTCACTCTACAAAACCTAGTTCTTCAATTGCAAGCAATAGAAATGTCGGTCAAACTGGTTTTAGTCCAAAAATGAATTGATTAAGTCGTCAAGGATTTTGTTGATTTTGCTTCAGGTCTGACTGGATCCAGGGGCTCAAAGGATAGCCTTAGGGCTCTTTCGCCTTTTCCACTGTGCTCCTCTCCGGCCTCCCTCTGTCCTGTTATCCACAGTCTTCCTCCTGATGGGTGAGGCAGGGAGGGCAGGATGTCAATCACTCCAGGCTTACATGATCCACTTGGGTATGCCAGGGGGTTGGGGTAGGGGAAGATGTCCCTTCCACTTCAGTTTATTCTATATAGAGAAGTTTCAGGAAACATTTCTGATTGGCCCAGCTTGGATTATTATTTGCATGTCTTGCACCAATCACTATATCCAGGGCGATGGAGTATGATCTGGGGCCACTTTTCCTGACGGTGTTGGATATAGCAAATTTCAGCCCCACCAGGATTACTTGGAATGGTTGATGAGGAAAGAACCATTTCCCATGGTAAGGGATGTGAAGCAGACCAAAACAGTGGCCTGTTACCTCCCACCCTCTCTAACCCTAAGCCTCAGTTCCTCATCTGCAATGGGAAGGTGCTTGTTACTATTTATGGAGTACTTCCTGTGTTCTGATGTTCCAAACACTTTCCATGAGTTAGCCCATTTAATCTTGGATATGTTACAAGATAACAACCTGCCTCTGAGGCAGGTTCTGTTATTAGCCCCGTTTTACAGAGGTGGTCGCAGAGGCACCCATGAGGGATGGAGTAGCGTTCACCTGGGACAGCCAGACTTCTGAATCTGTCCTTCCAACCTCTCTACTATAGCCGCCTTTGGAAAGGGCTGTGCGTGTGTGTAAAATTGTATGTAATTGATGTAAAATGAACTGCACAGCTTGATAAGTTTTCATACATACACCCATGAAATTATCACCACAATCTCGATAGTGAGCATACTCAGGTTTCCTCATGCCCTTTTTTATAATCCTGCCCTCTAGCCTCTCACCATCATGCTTGTCCCCTCTAAACCTCATGTCGAAATTTCATCCCCAGTGTTGGAGGTGGAGCCTAATGAGAAGTGTTTGGGTCATGGGAGCAGATTCCTCATGAATAGATTAGTGCACTGAGGGAGGTGGGAGCAGAGGAGGTGTTCTCTCTTAGCTCCTAAGAAAGCTGGTTGTTAAAAAGAGCCTGGCACCTCCCTGCAACCCCTACTTCTCCTCTCCCCTTGTTATCTCTGCACATGCCAGCCAGCTCTCCACCTTCCACCATGAGCAGAAGGAACTCACCAGAAGCAAATGCCCAATCTTGAACTTTCCAGCCATCAGAATCATGAGCCAGACTGGGCACAGTGGCTCATGTCTGTAAGCCCAACACTCTGGGAGGCTGAAACAGGAGGATCACTTGAGGCCAGGAGAAGTTCAGCCTGGGCCACAAAGCAAGACCTCATCTCTAAAAACAAATTTTAAAACATTTTTTAAAACTCATGAGCTGGCCGGGCGTGGTGGCTCATGCCTGTAATCCCAGCACTTTGGGAGGCTGAGGTGGGCAGATTACCTTAAGTCGGGAGTTAGAGACCAGCCTGGCCAACATGGTAAAACCCTGTCTCTACTAAAAATACAAAAATTAGCCGGGCATCGTGGCACACGCATGCAATCCTAGCTACTTGGGAGGCTGAACCCAGGAGACAGAGGTTGCAGTGAGCCGAGATTGTGCCACTGCATTCCAGCCTAGCCTACGGAGCAAGACTCTGTCTCAAAAACAAAAACAAAAACAAAAAAAACTCATGAGCCAAGTAAACGTTCTTTTTCTTTATAAATTACCCAGCCTCAGGTATTCCTTTATAGCAACACAAAACAGACTAAGACACCATCGCCAATAAGCCGCTGATCTTTCTGTCACTATGGATTAATTTGCATCTCCCAGAGCTTTATATAAGGAGAATCATACACGATATATTATGCTATATATATATGTGTGTATATATGTGTGTATATATATTTTGTACATTATATATATTTATTACGTATATATTTTATTTATATATATGTGTGTGTATATATATATTTTTTGAGACAGAGTCCCACTCTGTCGCCCACGCTGGAATACAGTGGCGCAATCTCAGCTCACTGCAAGCTCCGCCCTCCGGGTTCACACCATTCTCCTACCTCAGCCTCCCAAGTAGCTGGGACTACAGGCATCCGCCACCATGTCTGGCTAATTTTTGTATTTTTAGTAGAGGCGGGGTTTCACCATGTTGGCCAGGCTGGTCTCAAACTCCCGACCTCAGGTGATCTGCCCACCTCGGCCTCCTAAAGTGCTGGGATTACAGGCGTGAGCCACCATGCTCAGCCTGTCTGACTTTTTCATTCAGCATACTTAGTGATTCATCCATGTTCTTATGTGTGACTATAGTCCATTTCTTTTTTATTCCATTGTATGGAATTTGTTTATCCACTCATCTGTTGATGGACATTTGGGTTGTTTCAATTTGGGCTCTTACAAATAAAGTTGCTATGAGCAAGTGAAGCGTCAATAGCTGTATCATATGGTAGGTGTATGGTTTTGGACTTTTTTTTTTTTTTTTTTACTTTTAAAATGGTTTTATTTTATGTGCAAATAATGAACAGATGTTACACCCATAAATTCTACTCTCCAAAAACAATTAGGAGCTTCTTAAAAGAAAACCACATAATAAATTTTTAAAGGCACTGGGATTCCTCTGTTTGTAGATCATTGCTAGGCTAGAAAAATAAAGTTTGTTCTACCAGGAATCACAAGTTAGAACTGACTATTCTCCAAAGTGGAAATCCTAGAGTGTAATGTCATTCCAGGCAAAGATTATTCAGTTCTCATACCCAGCATCCACAACTCCCTATCAGAAGGGTTAAACTAGGTTAAAACAGTCCGACATAATTAGGTGTCATCAAACAATGCCATTATGCTCTTCTAAGATGCAAATAAATCAAAACAGGAAGTACTTAAAATAATACTTGATGCTGTCATACAAATTGTTAGTTCCTTGCTGTATCTCCCCTTCTATAACATTAATAAAGGGAATATCTTACTTCAAAGAATATTTTATTTTATACATCGCTAGCCATGAATTTTTGCCATTAGTTTTTACACAAATGCTGCCTAATGCCATTAGCCAAACGGCATAACCATTTTACGTCCACCATTCACTTCTATAGTTATAAGTAGAATTTTCATGATTTACATATGTACATCTATCAGGATTTAACACTGAGATACAATCTAATATCTGTAATATCTGATGTTTTAAAGTAGATAGCAATGTAGGAAAGATATATTTTAATCACTTTTCATTTAAGCAACCTTATGTTAAAAAAAAAAAAAAAAAAAAGTTCAGTAGTTCCAAGTCTCCAAAGGACATTTTCAAATGTATGTAAAGAAATGGTTACAGATTTGTCCATGTCCACATCCTGTTGTAACCTCTGTACCATTTTCTCTTCCAACTCCTTCCCTTTGGCTGCAAGAGGGGCTCGGATAAGATGGATGTTTTGCTTGACTCCTTTGATATCCTGAACTTCCGTAGCTCTTTATTTTTCTTCAGTCTGTTCATTATAAATTTAGCTTGGCGTTTCTGTTTGATCTCTTCAACTGTCTTCATTGCATCAATAGTTTTATTCCATAGCTCTCGCCGGTATTTGATAAGTTCATGTCTACGTTTTTCAAATTTAAATGAATTAAAATCTGAACACCTTGCAATCGTTGCAGACAGACATCATGCCGTGGCCAGGGTAGATGGGCCCCGAACCGAAATAACACTTCTCCATATGCATGTTGAACCCGCATGGGTCCCCACCGACCAAATGCCAGGCTTCAGAGGAAGTCAGGTGTATGTTTAACCTAAACTGCCATGCTCTTTTCTAAGGTGGGTGTATCGTTTTACCATCAGCAGTATACAAGAGTTCCAGTTCCTTTATATCCTAATAACGCTTGGTATGGTTAATATTTTTAATTTTAGCCATTCTTGCAGGTATATAACATCTCATAATTTAATTTCTATTTCCCTAATGACATGTTGCACATCTTTTCATGTGCTTGTTATTGTTGGTGACAAATATATCTTCTTTGGTGAAGTAGATATTCAAATTTTTGTTCATTTATATTAGGTTTGGGGTCATTGTCAAGTTTTGAGAGTTATTTATGTATTCTGCAGACAAGACTTTTATCGGATAAATGCTTTGCAAAGATTTTTCTCTTAGTCTGTGTATGGCTTGCGTTTGCATTGAAATCTGTGTCTTTTGAAGAGCACAGGTTTTTTATTTTGATGAAGTTCAAATTGTAAACAATTCAATTAAACAGTTTAAGTAAATAATTTAATTTGTTCTTTTTGAATTTTTGGTTTGTTTGATTTTTGAAACAGGGGTTTCACTATGTTGCCCAGGCTGGTGGTCTCAAACTCCTGGGCTCAAGCGATCCTCTGGCCTCAGCCTCCTGGGTAGCTGGGATTACAGACACATGTCACCATGCCCAGCTCCTTTTATGGATTTTGCTTTTTGGTGTTAGACATCTTTGCTTAACTCAAGGTCACAGTGAATTTCTCCTGGGTTTTCCTTTTTTCTTTTTTGTTGTGGAAGAGTCTTGCTCTGTCGCACAGGCTGCAGCGCAGTGGCATGATCATAGCTCACTGCAGTCATGATCAAGGATCAAGTGATCCT